TCATAGAAACAACCCAAATGCCTACAAACAGATGAATGGATAGAAAAACTGTGGCACATATACTCAATGGAATACTATTTAGCCATAAAAAAAAACCTTGGCTTTTGACAGAAAGTGGATGAATATGGAAGATTTACTGCTGAGTGAAGCAAGCCAGGCTATGAAGGAGAGGCATTGCATGTCCCCACTTAATATATACCGAGTGTCCGCACTCTGTGATTGAAACTAATTGACTAAAGCATATAGAAACATAGTTAATAGATGTAAATACCAGATATATTGAGTGTGAAGGAGGAGGGTCTGAGGAAGGACAATTAGAAGAGAAATAAGGAGGCGAAGCATTAATGGCACAAAGAAATGTGGTATTATCTGTTGAAGATATTTTGTAGTTGTATCAACTGTACTAGGGAGAAATGCTCACCTGTTGAAATATCCATCTTGTAAGCCAAATAATAATGTGATTGAATGTATTACAAATAAAATAAATAATTCCTTTCTTAAAAAATGTATAAAATTTCAAGAAATTCATGGTCTCCTGAAGGTCCTCTAAGGCTGAGCCATTCTATTCTTCACAAAATATTTTTCATGTAGATTCTGGCAATTACATTATAAATTTGTTTTATACTCTGACATAGCAAGAGGAAATATTCAGAGATTTACATCATGCTTTTGTCACAGCAAGTATTTGAAGATTACTACTAACAAAGCTTTTAATGAATGTCAAAAATGGCAATACAAGGCATTTCACAGGGGTTCAGAATCTATTAAAGTACACATAACCACAAAAAAAATACCAGAAAACAACATATATGAGCAAGAAAAAGAAAAATAGTTGAAAAAGCATGCATTACTCAAGAAGCTCCAGATTCAACTGCCAAAAAGACAGTACTTTAAATTTCTGATTAATGTCAAAGTTCTGAGATGGTAGGATTCCATTAACTTAGCTAATACGAATAACTATGGGATGGCTCCTTTAAAACTATTTTTCATTGGAGTTCTAAAGATCAAAAAAATCTCATGAGGTAACTAGAAGAATTTACCTCATTGAATGTGAAATACCATTAAGGTAATCATTTTCTGGCCACCTTTTAATCTGACATCAAGAGTCATACTGACATAACTTACTTCTAAAACCTAACAAACGTTTATAAATTTGAATAACTTACACAAACATGTCCCAGGTGTTCCTTTGCATTGCAAACAACCATTTGCTAGAACTGCAAAATGTTGATGAAAATTTCAAGTTGCAGGGACCAGCAGTTAGTGTAATGGCTATGTCGCTGGACTCCCACGTAGTCGACCGTGATTCGCGTCCCGGACCCGGTGGCTTAAAACTCACGCTGGGCGCGTGTGCGTGTGTGCCCAAGATCCCAAGAGGAGAATGGAGAAGAGATTGTGGCGTGGCCATCCCCCCTGGGGGGTGATTTCTCGCTTTCTATCTCTCTGTCTTTCTGGCGAGCGCACACGCCCTATAGCAAAAACCTCTCCAAAAAAAAAAAAAAATTTTTTTCCAGTTGCATAGAAAACTGAATCATATTTGAAATTATTATTTTAAAATTTATTCTTCCAATAGAGTCTTTTTACACACAAGGGTTGAGATGTAACTTGGTTTGTCTAAAGTTGAAGGATGGTCTTTATTACTCCATTTTTATGCAAGATAATGCAAGTATGCCCTTAAAAAAGACAGGCAAGCACAAGGAAATAAATAATACTATATTAAATTCTTCTTTCAGCACAGCTTCAACACTAAAAGGAAAGAGCAAGACAGAAGGGGAGGGGGTGTCCTCAAAAAAATTCATGGAAAACACACATACAATGGAAAAACTGTACATACATTTCAAAAATCAATTCATATTTTAGTTCCACTTTCCCCTAAATTTTTGAAAGTCCCCTAGTATATACACAGGAAAAACAACAGTAAGAAATCAGGGTCAGCACACAGGTGAGCCAGAGCACTCACATAAAACATGCTACAAAAGTACCTGGCGATTGCCCAACCCCCAAAAGAAGTCAGAGCAGAAGCCCAGTATATCCCATGTCCTGTTGCTACATCTATGGTTGTAGTTATTCCAATACTCTAGTCTGGCTACTTAGGTCCAGAAAAATGTGCTGTAAAAACTGAGTGCTCAGTATTACATGACAAAACAAAATAATTTATACCCAAATTGGAAGAAAAGTATGAGATGACTCCCATACTCTGAATTTGCTTCCTTGTGTTTTATATCTGTGTGTGTGTACTATATCCTTGTAGGCATTCAATATGTGTCTGTTGAATGTATAAACACTCTACTTAGGTTAATCAGAAGCAATCAAATTTATTTATTTTCTAGTAGGCTAAAAGGGTTCTTAGAGATTAGCTTAAACAATACTTCATTTCACCTACAAACTAGCTCTCAATGATATAAAGGAACTTATCTAAAGTTACAGATATAATTATTGATACAGTCAGGAACAGAATTAGTCAAAAGGCTCAAAGTTCTGTATTCTTTATGTTAAATTATTGTCTTATTTAAGGGTATCACTTGTATAACCATTACTATTATCATCTTCATCACTGATCACTATTTATTGTGTCAAATTCTATCTTTAATCCTCACAAAAATCTAGTAACAGAGATACTACCCCCATTTAAAAGTTAAGCAAATCAGGGGCCAGCAGATGTAATAATGGTTACGTCACTGAATTCCCACATAGTCGACCGCAGTCCAAATCCCAAACCCGGTGACTTAAAACACATGCCGGGTGTGTGTGCATGCATGCCCAAGATCCTGAGAAAAGAATGGAGAAGAAGAGACTGGCTGGCCATCCTCCTTGGGGGTGGGGTGGGGAAGGTGATTTCTCGCTTTCTGTCTCTCTGGCCATCACAAGTGCCCTATAGCAAAAATCTCTAAAAAAAAAAAAAAAAAAAACAGTTAAGCAAACCAGAAGTCACATAGGTGGTGAGTTAGGTGAATGAGCCAAGATACAAAACTATTCACCTGATTCAAAGCCCACAAATTTCTCCACTGTACTTTATTACCTGCTGTAAGATGATAGTTTCTAATTTTTAAATATATATGAATTTCAGCCTATATAATAGAAACTAAATTTTTTTTGTCTTGTTTTTAAGAGAGATTTTTTACTATAGAGCATGTGCACTCACCAGAGAGAGAAACAGAAAGCAAGAAATTACCCCCTGGGGGGTATGGCCATGCCACAGTCTCATGTTCATTCTCCTCTTGGGATTTTGGGCACACTTGCACATATGCCTGGCATGAGTTTTAAGCCAGTGCGTCCAGGACTCAAACTGCGGTCAACTACAAGGGAGTCCCAGTGACGTAAACATTACACCATCTGCTGGTCCCAAAACTAAAATATTTCAACAATTAAAAATCTAAGTATCCAGTGGCCAGCAGCTGGCATGGTGTTTAAGGTGCTGGACTCCCACATGGCCATTAATGGTTCAAGTTCCAAACCTGGTGACTTGAAAATCATGCCAGGCGTGTGTGTGTGTGTGCATGCTCAGAATCCTGAGATGAAAATGAAGAAGGAATTGTGGCATGACTATCCCCCCTGGGGAGTGGGGGTGATGCTGACATTTCCTCTCTGTCTCTCCCTCGTGAGTACACGCGCCCTACGGCAAAAACCTTAAAAAAATAAAATTGAATTGGGAAGATAATAGGTGTCACAGTGATAATGGCTCTGGATTCCCATGAGTTCGACTGTGGTTCTAGTTTTGGACCTGGTAGCTGGAAATCATACCAGGAGTGTGAACTCAAAATCTCAGGAGGAAAATGCAGAAGGGACTGTGGTGTGGCCATCCCCGCCCAACCCCCCAGGGGGATAATTTCTCACTTTCCCTCTCATTGTCTTTCTCTGTCTCTCTACAGCAAGCACACACACCCTAAGGCAAAAACCTTAGGGGGGGGGGAACTAATTAGTCTAATTTCACTTATTCTTTTGAGCATTAACCATGTCTACTAAAGTAAGTGAGACGCTGACTATAAAAACCACCAGCAGTTAGCGTAATGGCTATGTCGCTGGAGTCCCATGTAGTCGACCGCGGTTCGCATCCTGGACCCGGTGGCTTAAAACTCACACCGGGCTCGTGTGCATGTGTGCCCAAGATCCTAAGAGGAGAATGGAGGAGAAGGGATTGCAGCATGTCCGTGCTCCCTTGGGGGTGATTTCTCGCTTTCTGTCTCTGTCTCTCTCTGTCTGGCGAGCGCACACACCCTATATCAAAAACCTCTCCAAAAAAAAAAAAAAAAAAACCTAATCTGTAAGAACAGAAATTCAAGCAAAAAATTGAGAAACACACCATGGATGGCGATGGCTATGGGAAGTTTCTAGGAGTCAGATCAGACAGAATTCTGAATGGGGAGAGAGCAAAATGACCACTTAGGAAGTTATCATAAAATTTGAGCCTAGCGAGATCATGGCTTGGTTTCAGGTGTCAAAGTGAAAGAGGTAAGATTTACTCAGGTTCTTCATCTATTTGAAACATACAATCATAGGATAAAAAGACTTCAAAATATAGAACTAATGATTGGGTTATTGGAAAAGTCATGATGTATTTTTTTCTATGCAAAAATGTGCCATGACTTTTCCTACAACGTAATATTTAAACAAAATGTCTTTGTCTAAAGGATTAGGTAGAGGGACTGGCAGGTTGCATGGTAGTTAAGACACTGGACTCCCATATGGCTGACTGCAGTTCAAGTCCTAGACCTGGCAGCTTCCTTTCTCACTTTCCCTCTATCTCTCTCTCTCTCTGCTCAAATTTTAAAAATAACAATAATAAATCAAATTAAATAAGATAATTCTTTTTTAAAAAAGGAATTAAGTAGAAACATAAGATGACTTATTTCATTGGTCAATGTATTTATTTATTGGAAAGTAGAATGATAGGATTAACCAGGATTTCAACATAGAAAATTAAACTACTAAAACAAAATTTCTTTATCATTACACAGTAACAAGCATTCTAAAAAATGAAAAAGAAGCATAAGACAACTTACTTTACTGGTCAATGTATTTATTTCTCGTTCAGCTTTATGCAATTTACTGATTAAAACAGTATTTTGTTCACTGTTTGACTGTAGTTCTTTTTCCAAGTGTTCGGCCTGTAGTTTAACTGACTGTTTTTCAGCCTTGTGTTAAAAAAAAAATTTTGTAATTTTTTTTATTGTTATATGATTTATGAATTTTTCATAATTATTTTCACAATTATACCAAACTAAAATAAGCCTTATTTAAAATACCTGTATCATCATATAAAAATTATTCAAAATCTCAACATCAACATATGTCAAAGTAACAAGAGTTTTTTAAAACTCATTGATAGAATTCAAATGAAAGGTATTTGCTCCAATAAACATGCAACAAAGGTATCTAGACATAGCAACAGCTACCAAGAAAATAGACCTCATACACTTTTCTTATGAGAGAAAGTACATAAGGCTTTCACTTGATATCTATTAACTCAATGCTGACATAATTCAAACAAACATTTTTGGGGGTTTCCAGTCCACAGTAAATATAAAAAAGTATATTAGGAGGTACAAGAGAGGGATCATTGCTAGTAGTAAGAAGTGAAAATTGAAAACCTAAATCAATTACAGGTCCATTAAAAAAAGAGAGAGAAAAAGAAGAATTCAAAATTCTTAGTCAATCTGGAGCCCTTTTTAAAAATGAGCAAAAAAAAAAAAAACCTTCACTTCATAACATAATTAAGATTCCTAATAAAGTCTACAAGTTGTCAAGAAAATTCTGGTTGATAATTCTAATACTCTTTAATGAAGTGGGGAAAGTAAAGGCTTTAAAAACATTTCTACTAAAAATAAAATGAAATGTTTAAAATGAAAACATTTTGGCACTGAAAGGATAAGCTTCAGTTTTATAATATTTCATTTCCTACAAATCTTAAATACAAGGAGTTTATTCAACAATTAAGAAAAACATAACCAGGGCCAACCCCATAGCCTACTGCTTAAAGGAGCTGGATCCTACATGGCCACCATGGCTGGAAGCCTGGGTCTGGAGGCTTTAAACATGTGCCAGGCACGTGTATGTGTGTGTCCTCAAAAATCTCAATAGGATGGAGAAATGGAGGAGAAGGGACTGCAGCATGACCACACCCCATGAAGGGTACTTCCTCTCTCCCTCCCTGTCTGGGGGTGAATGTCTCCTCTGGCAATTAAAAAAGAAAGTGTGTGTGTGTGTGTGTGTGTGTGTTTGTGTATACATATATTTATAAATAACAAATGATCAACATATATCATACAAAGGATACTCTCTAGGCACAATAATAGCCAAGAAAGTCGAAAAAGAAAGAAATGCTTGCAGTCACGTGCTTATTTTCATTTCATCTGACAAACGATAAAATTAAATATAGGATCTTCTGAATATGTCACAAATGAACACCCATCTTTTGTCATCATTCAACTTACCCTGAAAATAAGCAACCTTGATGAAGTTTCTCAAAAGGACCATACATTACATTCAAATGTAATCATCCCCTTATTCTGTCACAGTATAAACATACCAAGGAAGGAAAGATAGCATCATAAACTGTCTCACTGAACTGCCTCATGTCTAAGGTCCCATGACACTGACAACTTTAATTCAGGAAACTAGCAAATGTGGACAGAAGTTTCATCTGGAAAATAAAAAAAGGTGACTTCTACTCTTTAAAACATTTAAGTGAACTTTTTGGACCAGCTTGCTAATGGGAGAGGGGAGGGAAATCACCATTTTATATCTGGATATTGGATATTCTTTCTTTAATTGTGATAGCGTGCACATGTATTAGAGAGAGATGCACACTCTTCACAGGCTCTGGCCACAGTGCAATCCCCTTTGTCCAGTCCTCCAACCCATCAGATCTTAGACACTCATGCATGCACCTGGTATGTTTGAGACTGACCAGGCTGGGAATTTGAGCCACAGGCACCATTTGGGATCTGGCTTCTCCTGAAGAGTACATTGCCATTATGCTACAAAGTCAGCTATGGACACTAGATTTTTAACTACAAACTAGGTAACCACTAATTTCACCCCAGCCCAAATCATTTCACAACTATTCTGAAGGGGAAGAAAAAAAATAAAAATAAAACACTTTAAACTGCACAAAACCCACAACTGACCCAGTATATTTGGTACATGTTTAGCACTAAGACCTAGGGGAAGGAGAAAGCATATGTGATTAAGATGGAAGCCATGAATTTTCATGAGGTAATACCTCCAGGAATACCAGGCTGGCTTTGCCAATGCTTATCTTTTTCTATTGAAATAATTCAGGAAAATAATTCAGTAAAGGCTTGCATGCATTAGTAGCTAAGCTGAATTTTATCGTGCTGGCAAGAAGCTGTCATAAAATATATTGGTAAACCTCTGTTCAAATAGGACTTTGAATTTTACGACCTTAAGTCCCAGTTTAAAAGATATATTATCTGGGAAGAAATTATTTTTTTCTGGTTTGAGGTAACTTTAGTCTTCAGAAACTCAATTAAAAAAAAAATTGCATTTTCTATCCTATGGCATCATAAGAGTTAAATCATCTCATATTGGACTCCCAAAGAATAAATATTCTTTGTAAATGTAGTATAGCATAGCTATTGCTTATGAATCAATAGCGTTCTTCTTTACAAAAAGAATACACACTCTTGGGATTCCACAAATGCGTCAGCATTAGACTTGTGAGCATACGTTTATGCTCTAGAAATCAAAGGCTTGTCAACTATACTTTTAAAAAGTATGCCATACTCTACCGGGAAGCAATTAAAACCTTACCTCCAGGGATCTCATCGTAGCCTGCATCTCAGCCAACTGCCGCACCTGTATTCTTTGGACATTTTCTACCTGAGCACCAGAATTCTCTTTTTCAGCTCTTAATTCTGCTACTTCGGCCTCTAAACCTTTTAATTTCTGACACAAATGGACTTTTTCTCGCATAAGTTGCTCCACTCGTTTGCTGTCTCTTGTGGGATCAACACTAAGCATCTGATTATGTAGTTCTTCTTTATCTTTCTCCAGTCTTGCAACCTGATAATAATTTGAAAGAAAGTGTACAAGCTTTAAATTACTGAATTTTCAGTCATGGACATGCTTTACAAGTCGGTAAATTAAAACTAAAAATTGCACAATATGTAAGCTCAGGTGGTGAGATGAAATAAAAAAGGAAAAATCTAAAATGTCACGTTCTTCATTCTGTACTCAGCAAGACTCAAATATGAGGGCAAAGACTTTGTCCTTTTTCCATTTCCCCATGGTGTGTGGCACAAGGACTTAATCAGTTGCTGACTGAAATTCGAAATTATAAATAATATCCTATAAACATAATTATTTAAAACATATCAAGTATTTTTAAACTCATCAGAAGATTATAGGGGTTCATGTAAGACCAATATGCTGGCTACCGCTAAACTTTCTTCAGATGACAGTAATTCTTGGGCTACGTCTATACAAATAAAGTTACCTATTTCAAGGCAACTTAATTCACACAAAAGCCGTTTGTCTGTGTAAATAAATACAAATGTGATTGATAAGTGTTTTTAAATGATGGTGGGGAGTTTATTAAAGTCTTAGTTGTAATGATGGCTTAGTTATCGGATCCAAGAGAGAACGGAAAACCATTACTCCGGGGAAGGTGTTAAAATCACTGGGAAATCTGTAGAGAGGAGACCAATAATCTTCTCATTTATGCCAAGTATCACTGCAGGACTCCACAGGCCTCCAAATCAGTGGGTTTCAAACTGAGGCACTTCAGAGGCTCCTTGTCTCCAAGGATTAGGGGGCTAAGTAGCTCCTTGTCTCCAAGGATTAGGGGGCTAAGTAATCGGAGCAGAACTCACTGCTTCGCTTTCCCTATCTCCCCAGCTACATATTTCCAACCACCATCATCATGACCAAATCTGCTGTCAACCACCAGCTCCTCTCTTTGGTCTCTTTTCATATATTGGATTTCTTCATATGAGTCAACTTAAGTAAAGGACCATTTGTAGCCAGGATGAACTTCTAAGGCTCACTCACTCTAAGCCAAAAGGACCCTAAAGGAATGCTCTGTAACCTCAATAAAAATGGCCCATGAGATAACTGCTCACAGAGCTATTAATGCATCTGAGAAGTGTGAAACTTCACTCCAAGGCAGGATCCATTTCCTCATCTATGAAACAGGAGATTAAAATGGAGGCACCCTGAGATTCTTTTCAGTCTAACATGTAGTGACTTCAATCTGCTTTTGGACATGCTGAGTTAAAGTCAATAAAATATAGGAAGAGCTATCCAGTCATCAAATTTTATTTCCAGAAAATAAATCTATCACTGAAGGCCTCTGCAGTATTCAGGGATAAGCCCTCAAAAGTTCTATTAATTAGTGTCTCTCTCCCCTGTTTTTTCCTCCTATACTTCCCATATCACCATTATTCTTAGGTTTGGTCTTTGACTACCCTTTATTTCCTCCTTTTTCTCTCTCACCTAGCTATATGATTTCGTACAATTCAGTTTCACTCTGGCCTCAGTTAAACGAATGGCTTGAGCTGGATGATCTTTAAGATACTAATATTTAGCCTTTGCATGAAGTAATGCAAATACTATTTTAATGTGCTAGGTTAGCAGTGTAGCAGCTCACCTAGGTCAGGAGTTAACGTGTAACTTAGGTTTAAGCAATGGTATCCTTTACCTAGTATTTGCAAAATCAATAGTAACACTAATTCTTCTTGTAGTACTAATTTTACACACAGGGTCATGCAGCTATGTTCTTGATCAGCATATTTCTTATATTATTGGAGACTAGTTTTGGGAAGCATCTGTGTGATAGCTAAAAACATGGGAATAGATGATAACTAGTTAAAAGCAGTCAGGATTAGAGTCCATGCTTACAAATCTGCAAGCAGAGCTATAAGATTACTCCTACCAAATCCTCAATGATCAATTTCTCTATTCATTTATTCATTTCTACAACTATTTACTGAGTACTTACTATGTATCTTGCACAGTTTAGGGACGTATACAACTTAGCAGAACAGCACACACATACAGAACCTCGACTGTCAAGGAGCTTATACTCAATCACTGCCTTGACACCACTTTTGTCCCATTCATCTGAGTACAGATCAGATAAATGGAGCCTCAAGCTCTTTCCTTTTCCTCCACTCCCAGTAAGATTTGCATGCCTTCTTCCTTGATGTGTTCAACTATTTATGCTTTCTATTCTTCCTCTAAATTTCCAAAGGAGTTTGTTTGAATTTCTCTTCTATGACATGTCCACCTCTGCCTACACTGTCTCTACATTTACTTTATTCTCTTGTAGAATATAAACTTACTTTTCATAAAGTTCTTGAAATAAAGAAAAGGAAACTGATCAGGAACCTGGAAGAGTAGTAGATTTCCTTTTCTTTTTTTCTTTCTTTCTTTCTTTATTTTTTTTTTTTGAGAAGTTTTTGCTATAGGGTGCATGCACTCGTCAGAAAGACATAGAGAGAGACAGAGAAACAGAAAGCAAGAAATCACCCCCCAGGGGGGATGGCCACGCCACAATCCCTTCTCCTCCATTCTCCTCTCGGGATCTTGGGCACGCATGCACACGCACCGGGCATGAATTTAAGCCACCAGGTATGGGACTTGAACCGCAGTTGACTACATGGGAGTTCAGCGACATAGCCATTACGCTAACTGCTGGTCCCTAGATTTCCTTTTCAAAGAATGAAACAGCACCATTCCAATTCACCAAAGCACACAAAGGAAAATCACTGATAATACAACTAATTGTTCCATCCATCTTTTATATTGTATTACCTTTATGATGCAGCATAGAGAAATGGGTAAGAGAATAGGCTCTGGAAACAAACTGCCTGCATTTCTTTTTTCTTTCAATATTTCTAAGATACTGCTCTAGCAATATACTTTCTTCTGGCTTGAAGCCTATTGCCATTCTTTGTTCTTCTGTACAAAATGGTTTCTATTTTCTTTCTTTCTAATTGCCAAAAGGCAAGTAAGCTCACCTGACAGAGAAAGAGAGGGTGGAGGGGGTACACACAAAGAAAGCATCCCCTCCAATGCTCCTTTATTTCTCTACCATGTAAGGATTTTGGGTGAACATGCACATGTGACACCTGAAGGGTTTTTAAGCCACCAGGTCCAGGATTTGAACCACAGTTAGCCCTCTGGGATTTGGCTTCCTTACCCACTAGGCCCAGAATGGTTCTTGACTTCTTTTTAAATTAGATTTTTAAAAACTGTTCAGATAACCGTGGGTTTGAATGCAACGTTTTGTAAATAAATAAATAAACAAACAAATAAATAAATAAATAACAGTGAGGGTTGCTATGTACCCTTGTTCCAGTTTCCCTCAATGGTAACATCCCTCTTGCATTTTTAAGAAGATACTGTACTAAAGTGGTCTTATCTCTTTTTTAAACTAAATTTGTTGGTCAAAATATTCTTTTGGGAAGTGTTTAAGTTATAAATTGAATTTCCTTCATAGTTATGGGCCTATTCAAATTACTTATTCATATTAGGTGAATTATGGTAGTCTGTGCCTTGATCCATTTTATGTAAATTCTCAAATTTATCTGGATAAAGTTATCATGAGATTATCTTATTACCCTTTCAATTCCTGCAAGGCCATGAGTGATATTCCATTTCATTCCTGATATAAGTGATTTGTATCTTGCTTTTTGGTCAGTCTTGCCAGAAGTTTGTCAATTTTATTAATCTTTTCAGTTATCCAAATATTTGTTTCACTGTTTTTCTCTATTTTTTTTTCTGCTTTCAATTTCATTGATTTCTGCTCTTAATTTTATTATTTCTATCCTATTGGCTTTGTTTTTATTTTGATAATCTTTTTGGTTCTTGAGATAGAAACTCAAAATTAATTTGATGATATATTTCCTCTCTTTTTTGGAGGTTTTGCTACAGGGCATGTGTGCTCACCAGAAAGACAGAGACAGAGAGACAGAAAGCAGGAAATCACCCCCCATGGGGGATGGCCATGCCGCAATCCCTTCTCCTCCATTCTCCTCTTGGGATCTTGGGCACATGTGCACACACATCTGGCATGAGTTTAAGCCACCTGGTCCAGGACTCAGACTACAGTTGACTACATGGGAGTCCAGCGACATAGCCATTATGCCAACTGCTGGTCCCAAGTTTCCTCTTTTCTATTGCATGTGTTTAGTACTATAAACTTTCCTCTTAGGATTGCTTTAGTTGTGTTGTAAAAATTTTGATATGTTGCACTTCTGTTTTACTTGAGTCAATGTATTTTTTCAAATGTAGTCCCATTGAAATGTTTTTTTTCACTCAATTTTCCTCTTGACTAAAATTATGTAGTGTTTCATTTCATTTCTTTCTCTAGTGTTTGAAGATTTGTCTGTTACTCTTTTGTTAATTTCTAATTTGATTCTTTGTGGTCAGAGAACTCATCCTGCATGATTTCATTTTGTTGTGATTTCTTTTATAACCCAGTACATGCTCTCAGGTATGTTCAGTGAGCTTTTTTTTTTTTTTGGAGAGGTTTTCCACTATAGGGCGTGTGCACTCGCCAGACAGACAGAGAGAGACAGAGAGACAGAAAGTGAGAAATCACCCCCCAGGGGGGATGGCCACACCGCAATCCCTTCTCCTCCATTCTCCTCTTGGGATCTTGGGCACGCACGCACACGCACCGGTGTGAGTTTTAAGCCACCGGGTCCAGGATGTGAACCGCAGTCGACTACATGGGAGTCCAGCGACATAGCCATTACGCTAACTGCTGATCCTAGTGAGCATTTTTTTAAAATGTGTTTGAGTGCTCTTGTTGGGTATGGTGTTTTATAAATGTTTATTAGATCCTGTTAGTTGATGGTGTTGTTGAGTTCATCTCTATCCTTGCTAATTTTCTGTTGTTGGGGGTGTGGGGATATGAAGTCACCAACCATAAATGTAGATTTGTCTATTTCTCTTTTTAGTTCTATCGATTCTTGCTTCACATGTTTTGCAGCTCTGTTCAGTATACATATATTTAGTATTATGTCTTCTTTGAGGATTGATCATGTTTGTTATCA